GCATGTGCAGACACACACACACACACACACAGAAACACATACACACTCTGACTAAGGATTTTTACTCTTATTTACCCACTTGATTCAATTACATTTCTCATCCATCAGGCCGGGTTAATTCTTCAGCCTCAGGTTGTAGTTTTTCTTACTTCCAGGAGCACCCTGATTTGTGAAGGGAACACCTGTAATACTGCTCCGCGAGGCAAGCCTCCGGTACTAAACTAAGCCTGTGAGGGCTCAAACACACGCTGACACACACACACTGACACACACACACAGAGTCAGATATTCCCTGCAAGTCTCCTTCAAGGACGCCTGGGGAAGACTTGGAGGACAAAATCACACACTCCCTCTCCCAATGTCTCAGACGCACTGCACTTCTAATGCAGACAGAAAGCCTCCTCCAAAGAGACTAGGCACACAAAAACTCTCTCCTGCGCAGACACACACTTACACTCTCACACACTTAAACACACAAATACCCTGAAAGGCCCTTCCACCTTCCCATCCATGTGAGAAAAGCAGGACATTTTCTGTTTGTATTGTTTCTCTTATTGTCGCTCTCTCCTGCTCTCAGCTGTTTCAAGCTGTTGAGTGTATGTGTGTGTATGTGTGTGTGTCTGTGCAAAGTGGAGGGGGCTCACTGGGACTCTTTGACGACCTCATTCACTCCCCCCCCCCCCCCCCCCCCCCCCCCCCCCCCCCAGCCACACCATAGCCGACATGCCCAACAATGAGGCAGGAGGGTGGGAGTCGGACAAAAACCACTGAATGCGTCTTCATTTGCCTGAACTTTTCACACGTCTTTTTCCTTTTGTTGCGGGCCGCCCGTTCACTACAGTGCTGCGAGCCGCTCGGCCAGTTTCCGCTGGCAAGACAGCCAACCAAAGCAGCACCCCCCCCTCCTCTCCTCTTCTGACACCCCTCTCCCCTCCTTTCCACAATGTTAAGCCCATTTTTAGCTTGACATAATCTGAAATGGTACTTAAGTGAATTTATGTCTACCTCAGTGCATTAACTTCTGCTATTTCCTCCTTTATGTTGCTGTTTTTTTTTTTGTAGTGGGTGCAGCGACTGGAGGCAGCAAGAGGGAGGGAGAGATTTGAAACTCAGACCACGGAGTAGACAGCCTATCAGTATTCAGTAGAGAAAGTGAGTGATGGAGGGAGAGAGAGAGACGGAGAGGGAGAGAGAGAAAAAGGAGGAGGGGGTGATGTATCAATATTCTGAGTAGTGTTTGAGGGCAAGGGGAACGAACAGAGGAGAGGGGGAAGGGGGAGAAGGAGGGAGGGAGATTGGTGGGAGAGAGAGTACTTGAGTGAGTCTCTGAGTGTGATTATTTGTTCACATATACGCTCGCATGTGTGTGTGCGTGCGCATCCGCAAGTATGTGTACGTGTGTGGGTCTGAGCACATGTTGACTATAGGTTGCACATACAGAACATACAGACGCTCAGTGGAGGAATATAACTAAATACAATTAAAACACTGCACAGTTTTGAGGTACTTGTACCTTACTTGAGTATTTCCATTCTATGTTACTTTGTAGACTATGTCAGAGTGAGTTGGCAGCAGAATTCATACATGTATTAGCAGAAATCACTGACACATCAAGCCAGTGGTCAGACGGTGGTCAGCGTCACGCCATCAGTGAGTGGCTGATACCTAGTTTTGTGGTGTGTCCCCCGTTGTTGGCAATAGTCAGCCCTCGTTTGCTATTTTTCAGCTAATTCAGCACGTTGAATTGCGAAGCCTGTCAATAAATGAAATCACACTGACTGACAGTTCAGCTCAGTGCACGGGAGACTGAGACACAAGTGTCCCGATGCGACACAACAGTTCTTTGATGTCAGCTTGGTGTGTCTGGCCGTTAAAGGTGCTCTGGAAAGTAAACAAAAAAATTTGTTTCCCTTCAGTGCTGCTCACCAAAATGTATCCCTAAGCTCTGACAAATGTGTGTTGTGCATTTCCTGCCTTATAAAACTAGTTGTTCACTAGTTTGCAGTCTTCTTCTGCATATCTTAATGTGTTATCGCCACCTGTAGATTAGTGGGATAGTGTGAAACCTTTGGCAGGAGAGTAGTGTGTCATCCCTGTGTGCATGCATGCGCTTAGGAAGAGACAAACAAAAAAAAACACTCAGAAAAAAAAACTACTAGAGGTCAAAAACTCCACAGGGAACCTTGGAGCAATTTGGTTTAAGCAGTAAATTTATTAAGTGGTTAAAGGTTCTTTATGGTTATGGATCTAGACGGTCCAGAAACATCGAGGTGCTGAGTAGCATCAGTTCCTACTGTCTCCACTGCTGTTTGCACCGGCAATTGAGCCAATACCTGTAGTAATATGTTTCTTTTTTTAAGCTTCCAAAGCAAAGGCAAAAGTAGTGGACATTGCTGTGTCACAATCCAGATACTTCCATGCAGTACACTGTGTACACTACATCACACAGTACGTCATTTTCTACAGGGTAGTGTTGTTTCAAATTGAACATGGCTGTTGTGCACTTACCATAAATGACAATCACATCTACTTTTTAAATGGCAAATTGCAACTGGATAGAGCATTACAACCAACAACCGACTGCTATTGTCGCCAACCAAAATATCTGTCGGCTTGTTAACTTGTTCACAGCACCAACCGCTGCAGCTTCCTCAACCGCCATTTTCACAAGTTTGATTGTCCCTCCCCTTGTGCTATCTAGTAAAGATGGTGAACATTGAGGGTTAGAAGTGTCCAGTGTTCAATTAAATTTTTGATATTATTTATAAAGCCCAATATCACAAATCACAATTTGCCTCACAGGGGCTTTACAGCATACGACATCCCTCTGTCCTTAGGACCCTCACAGCAGATAAGGAAAAACTCCCCAAAAAAACTTAAACATGAAAAAAAATGGTAGAAACCTCAGGAGGAGCAAGTGAGGAGGGATCCCTCTTCCAGGACGGACAGACGTGCAATAGATGTCGTACAGAACAGATCAACATTAGAGCAGTAGCATATATGTTGTAAGTATATATATAGTAGGAGGCACCAGGCAGGACCACAACAGCAGTGTAACCTGGACCACGATCCAGGCATAGTCTGGACTCGAGGGAACTTGCGAGATAGTGGAGCACAATGACTCCAGAGAGGAAGCTGAGTTCATGATATGCAGTAATAGGACATGACTGTTAGCAAATGAAGAACAACCAACTTTTCAGAAACAGAAAGAGAAGGAGAAAAAAAGAGTAGGGACTCTGTGTATGATAGGAGGTCCCCTGGCAGACTAGGCCTAAGTCAGCCTAACTAGGGGCTAGTCCAAAACAAGCCTGAGCCAGCCCTAACTATAAGCTTTATCAGAGAGGGAAGTCTTAAGTCCACTCCTGAATGTGGAGACGATGTCTGCCTCCAAGACCGAAACAGGAGGATGATTCCACAGAAGTTTTCCACACTCAACTTTTTGACTGTTATGTTTACACCATCTGGGTACTCATAGTGCATTGCATTTTGCCATACTTTTCAGTATGAAAACACTTACGCACTTAAAATAGCAAGTGTAAGTATGCAAAGATGCAAATTGTGACAGCTTGTTGTAGTTTATGGAGCCCCTCTGTGCGGAGCTTGCATGCTCTCCCTGTGTCAGTGTGGGTTTTCCAGCTTCATCCTGCAGTCTTAAGACATGCAGGTTAATTGGTGTCTCGCAATTGGCCGTAGGTGTGAATGTGAGTGTGAATGGTTGTCTGTCTCTATATGTCAGCCCTGTGATAGTCCGGTGACCTGTCCAGGGTGTACCCTGCCTCTCGCCCAGTGCCAGCAGGGATAGGCTCCAGCACACCCATGTCCCCTAACAGGATAAGCAGTTACGGAAAATGAATGAATAAATGAATAAATCAGAAAACGGACGATATGAATTATGTTTGTAACAGTTTTGTTAAGATGACTGACAAATGATATCTGATTTACGATGCGGGCGTCAGATATGGGTCGTTTTGGAGGGCAAAGACAAATGTTGGCTTTTCATTTAGTTTGGAGGACTTGCGTAACAAACGTGTTACCTACAAGATAAACATGAACTTCTATGGTTAAAACTTTGTTTTTTGGTTAACAGTAGGTCAACATAAGTGTCCTGGAATTAATGTAAGTCAACGTGATGTCATCCTAAGCGACAAAAACAAGTTTCTGTGTATGTGTGTTTGCACGGGACAGGAGTCACAGTTTACAATACGTGTGGATGTGATGGAATCTCCCACTTGTTTCAGTCATCCCTTCTCTCTCTCTCTCTCCCTCTTTTACTCTGGCTGCTAATCAGCATTTGAAAGGCAGCTTTGACAGTGAGAAAGAAAGTGAGGGGGGCACAGGGAGGTGGGGGTAAACGAAAGCATGAGACACAGCGAGTTAGGGAGCGAGAGCCAGAGAGAGACTGAGGCGAGGGGCTGTACAAGCATGCCTTTTATATTTACTAGTGACTGAGAGAGAGAGGGAGAGAGGGAGCAGCTGAAGGCAGAGACAACTGGTGTGCACGGCTTTCCCAAGAGGAAATGAAAAGAAAGAAGCTCAGCGAGGAGAGTGAATGAGTGAGCGGGAGAGAGGAAGGGTGGGAGGGAGCATGCCGGCTGGAGGGAGGCAGAGAGAGAGAGACGTAGTGAGGGAGAGAGAGCGAGAAAGAGATTCTCACACTGGCTGTGTCCTAATCCGAGTCCATCTCCAAGAAGCAGCGGAGCAGAGTGTTGGTGAAGTGAGTCTGAGAGCCAAGGAGAGCTACATCAGCTAGCTCCGCTCACACACACACAAACACACACACACGCACACACACACACTCTCCCTCTCTCTCCCTCTCTCTTTTTCTCTCTCTCTTTCACACACATACATACACACACACACTCACACACACTCTTTTGCAACGGGAGTCCACGATGTGTCCGGCTGCACGGCCACGGCTTTTGTGAAAGTGAGGGGATTGACGCTGCCCCCGTCCCAGCCCCCTTGGCTCACACACACAGTGTTTGTTTGCTGTGTTTAAGCTCGAGGTGCTGGTGGAGCTGGTGTGGTGGGGGGGCACCGCCAGGGCAGAGCAGGGGCTCCGGAGAGGAGGAGAAGAAGAAGAGAAGGAAGAAGAAGAAGAGGAAGAGGAGGGAGACAAAGTGGATCAGATCAACAGCAGCAGACTGAACGCTGGAAATGCCCGTCAGGTGAGTAGATAATGGATCTAACAACTCAGGTCAACATACACACACACACACACACGCACACACACACACATGCATGAGTGTACACACAGTTTGTCACTCTCTTGCTTGATTTTCTCACACACATGCCGGACACACACACACATACGCACAGTTATAAAGTTGTCACCTTTTGTCAGATTTTTGCTGTTAGTTTAAAATGATGTGATTGTCATATCTTTATAAAAAATCGAAAGATAGTTTTATTTTAACTTGTTAAATTTACACCTGAAGTTGTTTTTCTCTTTCTCTGTGACGAAATATCTGCACGTATGCAGCGGTGGTAACTTTTTGCTGAGTCTAACTGAAGACAATTGCGACAATTATTTGCTAAAATTGGCACATTAGCAATTAGTAAAAAGTAAAAGTGTTTTTTTTCCTACATAAATTATAAAGAATAAAAGAAAAAGAATAAAATCTTGAGCTGTTTTATTTTAAAATTGACCTGTCCTCTGCTCACAAGAGTCCCCTTTTCACTATACATTTGAGTACAGAAAATACAAAGATATATGTGCATATTTTAGCATAAAAGCATAGATTTATAATATACTATAAATCAACATTGATGTTTCATTTGATCAGATAATTAGGGTAAATGTTTGCTCTTCCTTGAAAGCACCATTATTGCTTTTACACAAAGTTGTGGATAAAACATTTCCACTGCAAATATTCCAACCGCTGCTTTTCAGATAAGCCAAATAATTATGTATGTTTATGTTCTGTGCTGAATGAGCGCAAAAATACCAGCCCACCACTTTCTGATAAATAGTATGTGTGTTTGTGTGTGTGTGTTTGCATGTGTGGTGGACTTTGAGATACCAGAGGCAGAGAGTGAGCGTCTGCGTGTCCGTCTCCACCTGCAGAGGCAGAATTGGTCACAGTTTACTGGCTCAGTAACATTCGGTGCCTTCAGGGTGTTTGCAGCAGGTGGTCCAAATTGGCAGAATGACTGTGACAAACGCACAGTGTTCGCTGCCGCTGTAAAGTAAATAACAACATCAAACCATCACATAGTGATTTCAGGTTTTTTTTTTTTATAATTTGCAGGTGTTGTGGTCGGAGGCTTATCACATGAAGTAAAAGTCGGAATGGTTGAACGGTTATTTCTCAAAGGAAAAACGTGTGTGCAAATGTAAAGGTATCTGTGTGATTTCCTGCAAGGTTTCCTATTTGCCTATTTGCGTGAACGACTGTGTCTGTCCATATGTGGATGTTTGTGTTACACACCCTCTGAATGTTTCTCCAAAACCTGTGCTGTAAATTCTGCTGTGTTTCGTACAGCCCCAGCAGCATCATTTGCACACACACCTGCTGAGATAGCAGGTGCTTTAGATAAATTCAAACCAAATAACTACCTGCAGTACAGAGTCCCTCTTTCATGTGTCAGAGTGTTTCTATATAAGAGTTGCTGTCCATACTTTTATGTAACCCGGCAGTTTTTAGCAACTTACTAAAAACAAGCTTTTTTTTTAATCTTTTTCCAGCTTTTAAAATGTCTAGTTGACTGTTGCTTCGATAAAGAGAAGCAATGCACGTTTGTAGCAACAACAACTGACACGAAACAGGGTTAAACCGTGTCATCACATGTCCGTGGTACAGTTTATACCCTGGCCCGCTGAGCAAGTAAGCTTCTCCATCCGTTCCAGTTCTCGCATGTGCAAGATGCTTTGGTCGTGACCCACGTTTAGGCCTTTTTATTCGACCCAGACGCAGGTTCCTTCTTTGGCTTTTGGGTTTAAGCAGCTGCGGTTCATGCCAACAGGCGACTGTGTGACAGACCCTGACTTGGATTACTTTGCGAGAGTACGAATGTCGGCAACAAAGTGTCCCGTTTAAAGACGGCAGATGGAACAAAGTTGAATTTAATTTAACACTAATAAAGAGTTGTTCTGCGAGCGAGCAGCCAGTTTTATTTTGCTTCCCCTTTAAAGATGAGCGCTGATGTGTGTTTCTGATTATGCTGTGAGGTTAACATCTGGTTCTCTTTTCAAGTTAGTTGTATTCTCTGTTTTCATTTCATAAGATCACATGAGTGGATAAATTAATAGCAGTAATGTATAAACGTATCTGGGTTGGCAGACAGAAGCAAACAGTCACTTTTCGTGACTCATTGACAAGTTCTCAGGTAGACAGACACCTCACCTCTCCCTCCCCTCCTCTTTTTTTTCCTCTCTTGATATTTTTGTCTCTCTCTGTTGCTCTCTTACACACACACACTAAGGTGGTCAGTGTCTGGCGTGTTGACAGACAGCCACTCACACACGTCTTGCTCCCGGCGTGCGTGTGTGTGTGTGTGTGTGTGTGAAGAGCGTTGACAGACAGTGTGTGGGTCTGTGACAGAGGGTGTCAGCGCGGTGTCAGGGAGATGTGTTTAGTGTCACACTCTGCTGACCTGATCTCCGGTTGGACTGTCCACTCCGGCCCCGCTGTGGCTCCTTACATAACCCCCGCTGTCATTCACACGCCGGCCTGAAGGGATCCACCAGGCTGCGCGCACACGCACGCTTACGCACACACACATGCGGTTACTTAGTGACGTGCACACGATGTATAGGCATCTACACTCACAGTCACATTTCCCTCTAAAGTGGACGTCAGATCAGGTGCAAATCTTCCTCACTATCCCTCCTTCATGTCCTCTTTCTTGTTCTTAATATATGCCATGACATAATGCATAAGTTACATAAATTATCTGGAAATATTCAAACAAAGCGCCAAGCTCCGAGCAGTGTGTGGGAATATAGTATGAGGCCAGCGGGTATCGTGGTTTCCCCAGTGTGCTGCAAGACACCTACACAACTTGTGCAACTCTTATCAAGAGTTTGACTCTGCTCTGAGCTCTGACATTTGCACCATGCTAATTGAAGTGTCTGTATTAGCATGTGGACATCTCTGTGCTGATGTGCAGAATGATGGTGTGCTTTCAAGTCCTGCTATTCAGTACACACGTTGGTGTGTGTGTGTGTGTGTGTTGGAAGGAGTGAGTGACCCTGTGTGCTGTGCTTTGGCCTGTGGTTATTTGGAGGTCAGTGCTGATGTGGTCTCTGCCTGCAGGAGTGGATTTACCATCTTCTGCCTTATAGAGACCTGCATCCACTTAGCTGACCCACAGTCAGAGGAAGAAGTTTCTGCCTTCTTTCAACCTTTTTCTATTTGTTCACCAATAACTTTTACACTGTATATGGATATTATCAGTATTCTCTTTACATGTGACCACATCGGCATTCCTTTTTTGAAATAAGAAGCTTTTATCATCAACTTTCCTGTAAGTCACGCTTTAGTCACCTTTATCCCGGCATTACATCGAGGTCGGGATGTTTAACACCAGAATAGATTGCTGCTATTATTTTGACCCAAGATATTTCCTGTCAAGTAGGACAGTTAACTTCATAATAGACTGAATATTTTTACTTTTTGCCTTTCTTTTAAATATGATATGAAATTTGATTCTCAAAGTTATAAGTAACATTAAGTCTCTCTGCTGAACCATTTGTTGAAATCTTCCGCCTGTCCTGCGATCACTCTCACTGCTCTCTCTCTACCCTTTTTCCTAATGTGCTGTGCTACTTCTGCTACAGGGTTAAAGCATTTAAACTGAATATTTTGTGAAATCATCTAAATTGCGTATTAATTTAACATACTTGCCTATTTTATGTGGATTATTTTGTAGATCCTGTCGCTCCAAATAAGACCATGTTGCTCCTTTATGTTCTGAAGAAGTGCCTTGTTGTTCCTAAAACTGCCAGATAAAGTCTGCACCCGTCTTCGAGTTATTATACTTAAACCTTTTTCATTACTTTAAATATTGAGCGAGGAATGACATCCAGTTTATTTGAGAAAAATCACTGGAGAGCAATCTTCAGAGAATAGGTAGTTTTTCTGGTAAACACTGTAAATATGGGATTCTGTGCGCCGATACTTTCAATTTCATATTTAATACAGCGCAGGTGAAGTGGAGCATTTCTTTTGTGTATACTCAGGCCGAGGTAGATGGTAATTATGACAGGCATGGATTGGATTCCGCGTAGCTCCACGCCCATGAGGAGTGGACATCAAAGCAACACTCACCAAAGCCCTCTGTAATAAAAGAGAAGGAGGAGAAAGATATTGATTACCAAGGGTGAACATTAGCAAATCTCTTTCTCTCTCCTTTTTTTCATCTATGTCTTCATCCGTCTATCATTTCTCTCTCTCTCTCTCTCTTCCCGTCTGATTTGGCTCCCTCCGCCTCAACTTATGCTCTCACCCTCCCCCATACACCCTCCATACACCCGTCTCCCCCTCTCTAATCATTTATTTATCGCTGATCTCTTTATTCTGTATTCTTCCAGTTTAGGGATGGTCCACGCTGTGACTCTATGTCGCTGTTTCGCACATACGGACTGTTATCATCATTCCTTTACACCCCTTTTCCGAACCCTCCTCTTCCTCCTCATCACCACAGAGATACCTGGGGGCGAGCGGGGTCACTCTGGTCCAATCTAACGCTGTATTGATTCCATTAGATAATTAATGACCCAGGCAGGGGCCAGGGAGGAGCAAAGAGGGGGTTAGGAGAGATGGGGGGGTGAGGATGATGGGAGAGGCGAAGGGGGTGGAGGAGGGTGAGGGAGAGAGAAGGCGAGGGGGGGGACGCCAAGGCCCTTGAGAGTTGAAGAGAACCTTGGGTTGGGAATGATCCAGAGTCGTCAAGGTCAACCGCAGCCGGCGCTCCGATACGGAAGCAGAATGCCGAGCGAGTCAGAATATGGAATACTGATAGAGAGGGGGGGGGAGAGATCTTCATGTCCAGCAGCTGTCGATTGATCAGCAGCTGAAAAATTGTACATTAAAAAGTCTTTTGACTTCCAAATCCTGAGGTCCAACCGGGGCCGTAATGCATGATAAGTAGTTTTCAGCCCTCCAACCAGAATACCAAACTTCCAAACCCCGGACGCTCCAGACACTCATTTACAACTACTCAACAACATGAAAGGCAAGATAGAAAACTAGCTACATCAAATATTCTGTTCATGTTATTTCCAACCATGTTTTCTACATCTTCCATGATATTGAACGTTCTCTGTTTGATAAAATATTATTCACAGGAATATCTTACATCGCTGTTGTATGTGTGCTCCTCTTTTACCTTTAGATAGAGATAAGTAGAGACGGGTGGGCGTTAGAGCAAGAGAAGGGATCTGTCTTAAAGTGTTAGCACTAAAATTTTATTTGAGTGAACACTGAAAAATTACCAGAATGACTGCTGTACACAGTTTTGATGTTAAGTGAAAACTAATGTCAGTGTTTGCCGTATTTGGGAGGCAATTTTTGACCTTTCATCAGTCGTAGACAATTGAGAGGTGACAGGAAACAAGGGGAGAGTTAGAGGGGGTGGTGCTTAATGATGATCCCATTTCGCAAATACAGTTTGATTTGCGAGCACCGCTTAAAGGCACATTGCAAATTGTGACAGCATCATGATTCACAAATGGCTGTCAGTTATAAATTGAAACTGAATAAGCCCTTCGAGGGCAAGAGTATGGTTTGTTTTTGTGTAGTGAAACGTGTCAAAATTAACAGGAGAGGAAATTATCGAAAATTGCAGCTTGTATGTTGCAAATTTCATATCAAAGGCCCCAGGGACGTTTCGATCATGAGTAAGAAGACATACCTATCCTCTGTATTTTATCACTTTGTCCTAACTGAAAAGGAAAGAGATGTAGTTTGTGGATTTTCCTCAGTGTTTCTTCAGAATTTGGTCATTATAAAAAGAAAATTGTCAGAAAAAAAATCTTCTTCCTCCTTCTGTTGTAAACTCTACACTGCATAGGCTTCGTGCTGCTCTTCACCTTGCATGATCGCAGCGTGCATGTCGTCTCCAGTGGGCTATGAGCGCTCCTCTGCCTCCACATTCACAGTCTTGGCCAGCCTCTGTATTGGGCCCCAGGGGTTGGGGAGATGAGGCATAAAACAACCATGTCTCTACCTAGGGGAGCTGGTGGCATGGCAGTGGGGCTATTGTCTGTCTGCGTGCTGTTTGACTTAAATGTGTTCATTTGCCTGATGCCCCTGACTCCCTACGGGGAGGGGCGGCTCGGGGAGAGGAGGGGCACGCTAACGAACCTCTGACAGCTGGAGGCCCTAATTAAACGTCCCTGCTGAAAATAAACAGAGCGGGAGCCAAGCAAGCAGCCAGAGAAAAACGCACGGCAAACAGCGGCTGTGAACGCTTGCCGTAGTGCCCTCCGCTCTGTTGCTGTTGAGACCGTGCCAAGAGAGCACGGCTCTATAGGGTAGAGGTCTCAAACACACACTCACGTATACACACACACATATACACCACACTTATGAATATGTAGCACTGCAGCAACACATTGCGAACACCTGCGGTCACACTTGATACAGGTTGATCTCTACAGCTGTGGGCGCAGTATATTTTTACACTCAGTGCTCTCAGAAGTCACACTTTCCTTTTCTATATATTTCCCACTGTGCCATTACAGAATAAGTCGACTCAGCTCTATTGAGCAGATTGTTTCACACTCTGTCTAGATGACACTTCTGACATTCAGCCTGTTGTGCTGCTAGCTAGCCGGAGCATTAGCAGTCAAAGTGGCGGGGTCCATTTGGGTGAGTGCATTAATGGGCCGCCCAACCTGCGACAAGGTTATGAGGCTGATTGAATAATTACTGTGGAGGCCCCTGTCCATTACGCCCCTGTGTCTGCCCAGATAGAGGGAGACGTAGAGAGAGATGGAGAGATAGTTCGAGACAGAAAGATGGAGGGAGAGATTAGATAAGCACAGATAGGGTCAATTAAGAGATAAACATTCAGGTATGGGATGGAAAAGGGTTGTGCATGTGTGTGTGTTTGCGAGGCTGTGAAAATTTGAGAGTAAACTGTTTTCTTCCTGTGTGTCCTTTTGATCTCTCCGTCCTACTGTACGCAGCCTAATTTGGCATGTAGCGCATTTATCCAGGTGAGATAGAGAAGGTGACAAAGGTGAAGTTGTTAGACAGAGGTGCTCTGCCCTCTCCTCGACCCTGTCTTCTCTTCATCAGACTCTCTGAAAAGAGGACTGTCAGTGTTGCAGGCTGGAAGCTTTAGAGGCAAAAAAATATATAGGTTTCCTATAGTTGGATGAAGCTTTAGCCTTATACATAAGCCTTGGACAAAATATTCTGTCAATGTAAGGGCCCTGGGAAGAGGTTAAATCTGGGACTGTAATATTAACCAGATTGATCAAGTCTCTTACTCACTTGAATTTACTTACATGGCAATCAATTTTAGAGTAAATTCTCTGAATCACACAAAAAAAACCTTGAAGGAGCGACAGCAGCCATTGATATCTGATCAGACATTTAACCCTCCAACTGGCAAACAGTTCAGTCCAGAAATCGAGAAACTTAAATGAGCCAGACTGTAATTAATCATGCACTGATATATTTTTGCAAAAAAGTTAATATATCTTTGATGGTTTATTGGTTTTATATAAATAATATATGCTTATGCCTACCCCAGTTATCTCCTAGTGCAGCACAGGGTACTACAAGTTCTTGTAGTATTGCCTCTTTTTTGCCCCACTAAGCAACATTGTTCTAGGGATGGCAACGTCAGTCAGTCCGCCACTTTGCTGTAAACTGGGGTATCTCATTAACTGTCATGAAATGTGGTACAGATATCCATAGTGCCCAGAGAAAGAGGCACACTGACTTTGGTGATCCCGTGACTTTTCCTGTATTGCCATCATCAGGTCAAAATTCAAATTTTAGCCAATACCTTGGTTTATGATCGAATATCTGTATGACATTCCCGTCAGCCTCAGGTGCACTTTGCGTTCACTGTTAAGTAGCAAATGATGCTAAAACACTAAGCTAATGCTGAACATGGTCAATATTATACCTGCTAAGCATCAACATGTTAGCATTCTGATGTTAGCATTTAGCTCAAAGCACTGCTGTGCCTCACTACAGCCTCACAGAGCTGCTAGCGTGTCTGTGTAGACCAGGGGTGCACCGTCAGGAGAGGCAAACCAGGACAATGTTTTGCCCCCCCCCCTAAAAGAATTTGGAATAAGGGCCCCCCTCATATTGGCATATTTTGCAATGATGACTTTAAGTCCCCTTAAGCCTCCCATGAAGGGACCTACCACTGCCCCAAATATCCCCCGAGTAGGACCCATTCTAGCTATATGACCTTGATAGGTCTTGATGGGAGTCTTTGACTTTGGCATTGACTCTTAGTTTTGTTGAGTGAGCACTGAGCTTTGAGCACATTTTTAAGGCTCTATTAATAGATGCATTCTGATCAATCATTGCATGGTTGAAGGAGATATTACCAGGTAGATTTTCCCACTGAAGCTGATAGTTTTAACACTGACTTAGGACTGTTTAACAATAGGCAGCAAACAGTTTTGCTTAGCTATTGCTGCTTAAAAGTACTAAAGGTAACCAAATGACCCCAACTCCCCTTTCAACAACTCTTCTCTCTGTGTTGAATTTCTCATTGACTCGGCTACCTTTGAAATTGGTCCAAGAAGTTTTCATGCATACATTTAATGTTGGCTGTTTTAGCCCAGATTTGTGAAATGATATCTGCCAAACCTGCTCAGCTTCTGCTGACCCCTCTTAGCCAAGGTCAGCATAGCCATGCTCAAACTCGAGACATAATCCATTTTCTTCTGCCCCGGCAAAGCTCTACTGACTTGATTGTGCTGACCCAGCCGGGCCAAAGAAAGAGAGAGTTAAAGAGTGAGAGGCAGTACGAGAGAGAGAGGGCATCTCAGGCCCAAGGGCATGACACCGCGGTGCTCCGGGCCACGCTAGCCCTTTAAATGTCAACACAGCAGAGAGGGGAGGGAGGGGAGAGAAATGGATGAGGAGCGGCGCTCTGTTTGAGGACAGGGAGGAATATTGGCAACTTCCGTGGTAGAGTTGGAGACTGGCAGCAGGCAGTAGGCAGCGGACAGCATGTGCTTCGTCTTTGGAGATGTTTTCTTTAAACTCCAGTCGCGGACAAGTTTGAATATTCTCTCAGGGATGAAGGGAGACATTTGGAGATCTGTGATTTCCAGCTTAATTGTGACCTCAAAGGGTGCTCAGTGTTTTGTCTTATGTCTATTACCTTGGGAACAGTCTCTGACCTTTATGTGAGGAAGTACATACAGTACCTAATTGCTCTCTCTCAACCTCACCACCTTCTTTCTTTCTTCCTTTCTTTCTCCCTCTCTGTCTCTCTGATAGATGATGTAAGAAATAAGATGGGTTTTCATCCGAGCATTTTAATGCAAATTGTGTTCTATCAAATTAAAAGGGCTGAATGGGAAACTGAAAATGGAGATAAAATGCCATAATTTTTCTTTATTGAAAAACAGGCTTTATGCTCACTCTGAGCCTAAAAAGTATTTCATTGAAAAAATACATTATGCAATTTATCGTGATGGAAACACATTTGGTAATTTAAAAAAAACGCTAAATTTGACGTCCCGGTGTGCTGTCTCTTGCAAAAGTTTAAGTAGTTCATGACTATTTGATGGCTGTTATTGGTGAATGAACCGACCTCACTAGACTGATTTTCCTCTTTCTTCTTTTTGTTCCTCCTCTGCTGTCTCTCATGGATCTCCAGGTCTGACTCTGTCACACCCTCAGCCAATCAGAGCCTTCGTTAACAGCGGCGTTGGCACGTGATTGGGAGAAGGATGGCAACCATGCCGTTTGTCAGCGAGGGGAAGTGCGTGAGTGTGGAGTGGGATTTCCTACAAGGACTACTGGCCAAGCCTCCCACCCTTCCCTGGTGAGACATGGCACACACACACACACACACACACAGGCTGATACTGTATAAGCCTGCGTGCATGCCCATGAATTAATCTCTGCAAGGTAAAATCCATGCATTAACACCCTTGCGCACACCGACAGCCTGAAGAGGAATTTCCTATCAATGAAACACAATCCAGGAGACATAAGTCTGATCTCCTCAGTGCTACATGTAACCTGTATTGTTGCTCACCTGCCAATCCTGTCAGAGCCGTGAATCCCCTCCCCTTAGTGGGAGATTAAGTAAATTTGGCTGGAATTATTAATGGGCAGTCATTTACAGGCGGATATAAAAACTAAGCAGAATCAATGTGTGTGTATTGATTGTTCTCGGTGGCTGGGGTCGAGGCAGTATAATAATGAGATGTTACAGAGGCCTGGCAGCGTGAGTCCACAACACACACACACACACACACACACACAAACAAATACACAGTTTTTACTTATTAGAGAATAGCAGGGAGAAATACAACAGCTGTGTCAGCTGATTAAGATATAAACATATGTACACACACTATGTACAGCCCCTTTCTTTGTTCTGTTCTTTCTTTCGCTAATGCATCCTCACACACACATGCACACACACCACTGGTGGTCTTTCTTAGGATGAGAATCAACAACACAGATACGAGGGAGAAAGGCTGGTTCTTCTTTCGGCTCTCGTTCTCTCTCTCTCTCTCTCTCTCTCTCTCTCTCTCTCTCTCTCTCTCTCTCTCTCTCTCTCTCTCTCTCACACACACACACACACACACACACACACACACACACACACACTTTATTCCAGCGCAGCACCGACACAAATTGTGAAGTGGCTGTGACAACATAATTCCACCACTCAGGCCCCATTGAGGAGAGTCAATACCCAATCAGAGAGACAGGCTACCTGAGCCCCGGCCCCCCTCTGTCACTCTGCCCCTCCCTCTCCTATTGATCCCTCAATCACGGCTTCAGCTCAGTAGCCCAGGACCAGATGAGAGGGAGGGAGAGAGGGTGAGAGAGGGGGGGGTTGGAGGGAGGAAGGGAGGGAGGGAAAGTGAGAGATAGGCAGCGAGAGATTGTGTGTGTGTGTGTGTGTGTGTGTGTGTGTTCACATATGGATTGTGGAGCAAATGGCATTATTAGGACTCTGCTCTGCCTGATAGAAGAAGGGAGTTTGTCTGTAATTACCAGGCCAATCTGCAAGAGATGGGTCAGAATGGAGATTGTTTCACTTGAATTGCAGGAGCCGTTACCATTATGTGTACTGTATTTATGAAATGAGTTTTCTGGATTGATGCTCAGGTCATTTATACAGCGCAAGAATCAATCAACAGGTGGTCAGCAAATGGCCGTTATGATATACGACACCTTACCAGTATTGATATTCAGACTCTATTCTTAGCCGTTCTCTCATGTTTCTCCATGCGTTCCTCTATTTCTTGCATTAACGCACCTTTCCCTTGTTCGCCTCTCAGTCTCCAGAACCTGCGTAAAGAGAAGTCTCGCAATGCGGCTCGTTCACGCCGGGGGAAGGAGAATTTCGAGTTCTTCGAGCTGGCCAAGATGCTGCCTCTGCCGGGGGCCATCACCAGCCAGCTGGACAAGGCCTCGGTCATCCGGCTGACCATCAGCTACCTGCACATGCGCACCTTTGCCAGTCAGGGAGACCCACCCTGGAGCCCTCTGATGGAGGGAGACAGCAACTGCAGCAAAGGTGAGCAAAAGGGAAACGTCTAAAAACTGTAAAGAAGAACTGCTAAGCAAACTGCATCGCTTCAGTCCACAACGCCACTGAAGAATTTCTGTCTAATCCTTCCTTTGACTTCCTTTGAGTGGTCGTAGCCACTATTGAGGACACTGAGGTCATGTCCTCAGTACTTCCTCTTCGAATCTGAGGTTTTAGGGACAAGGAGAAGTGAACATTCTGCATTTTGTGGGCTGATTACAGTATTTTGGACTCAATATACTTACATTTGATTACTCTTGGCAAAATGAAGGATTTATACTGTAATTTCCCCACCAGATTTTGATACTGGCAGTCTGAAGAGGGGAGGGAACAGTGTTTAGGCCTTCATGTTGGGTAATCAAATTCCAGAGACTAAAATAAAGAATCAAATAAGAAAAATATTTAAGGCCTTTTGTTGTCAAACTTTCCTTGGGTGGAGGAGACTTGGACTCATGATGTCATGATGTTAGTATTTTTAAAATCCTGGCTACAACCCTGTGAGGAATATCTTTATAATTTATGAATTATTGACACTTATTATGCACTTTGATGATGGCAGCGTTCAAGTATGCAGTTAAATGAAACATGGTTGCGACGGATCATCTCTCAGCTTGGCTTTCAGGCCATTCAGCCTGTGAGAAAATTATACAGCAGAAATAAATATGCTGACATTTGTTGCCAGTGGACACAAACCACTGAAATCCCCGCGTCTGTCCATCTTACATCTCTCTTTCAATCAAAAGCAGTCCTCAGCAGTCAGATCTGCCCAGTTACTGTCGCCCACAGAGACACCCCACGCCACAAAAATCCAGTTCGGACCAGGACAATTATCCAGTCCTCGAGTAACAACCGTAATTACTTGTGCTGTGAATGTGACACAAACACGTGTCCATTCACAAGCCTGTAAACATACATGTGCGTATAATCATACAAGGACTCTCCATAGGCTTTAAATGTACGTGTTGTGTGTAATTGTGTGTGTGTGTGTGTGTGTGCGTGAGATAGATGATACACAAAGAAGGAGGAAACTATTGGTGCGATTTGTAATTACAGAAATTAACTATATAACGAGGACAGTGTAATTATACAGCCTGTCTAATTGCTACTATTACTGAGGGGAAACGATGCAGCTACAGTACAATTAGAGGTGTGTGTTTGTGTGTGTGTGTCTGTGTGTGTGTTTATGCCTGTTCTTTTCTAATTTGAGGAAATGTGAGCAAAAAAACAGTCATGTTAATAGCATGTTTGTGTGTGTGACTGTGTGGGGCTTACTACGACACAAGACTGTATGAACCACACACTCCTGGTAAGATATAATGGTTTTGATGGTATAATAAATTGGGCTGAGTATCAATAGTGGCGCCATTGCAATACCTGAGTTATGGCACCAATACCAAAACAATACTTTCATCAAAATCCTTTTTATAAATAACAAAACCTGTGTTAAAAACTGGGGGGGGGGGCTTTAAATATGTGGTATTTACCAGTCAGGAATTCTTTAAATGAGAGATGCTAATGGCTACATCATGGAAAATGTGTGATACTAAAAGTCAGAATATCTCGGCCTCTGCTACTTCGATTTTAACCAACCTTTTTTAATCTGCCTCTTGTACAGTAAGTAAGCCACAGGAGTGTGACAGTGAGCCAGCATGGACAATACCAGATTTCAGAAACTGAAGCATCCATCCATCCATTTTCTGTAACCGCTTATCCTCTTAAGGGTTGTGGAGGGGCTGAAGCTGATCGCAGCTGACACTGGGCGAGAGGCAGGGTACACCCTGGTCAGGTCACCACAGGACTGACACACAGAGACAGACACCCATTATGCTCATATTCACATCTAAGTCACCAAGCAGGGGTGTAAATATGGAAAGTGCAGATGATTCAGATTGCCACCTCGGAATTACACCTGTGCTCAAAGAAGAACTCACATTCTATTACAAATATTGCCCCAAAAATGCAAACCCATATTTTTCTTTTCTTTTCCTTTTTGGTAAATTAGTCAGTAGCAATCTATAACGATATTATATGCTTATTCTACATAAAATAGAAAAACCATACATAACTATATATATAAAAAACTATCCAACTAAATTAATAATTTCTTATTTTCTTTGATATTTTTGTCATATACAGGTATGCAATAATGATTGTTGGGTAACATCTATGTTGATGTTGCCTGATGTCAAGTCTCTATTGGATCATGTGACCAGACAATTCGATACGGTTGCTTGTTTAGGCGCAAAATCTGTCAAGACTGACAAGATGAGCACATCTACAAATCCAGTGAACAGTCATGGCTTTTAAGCATAAAAGCGGCAGTAAGAAAGGACGAGAGAAACGAACAGGTGGAAGAAGTAGCAGCACTCCCTAATTCAATTCAGTTCAATTCAATTCAATTCATACTTTATTAAAGACACATCTCAAGGAGAGGTCCGTAGCACAATAAGAGTAAGACTAAATTAGATTCATTTGGCTTTTCGTTAACAGTCACCAGGTGTATGTGTGCGCTTTATAACTAGTAATGAGCGTTCACTAGGTCCTGTCATGATAGCGTGCACTGAGGCCCATGGTAACTGCTTCATGCCACTGACACCAAGTAATCTAACCTGCATGTCTTTGGACTTGGGACGCTGGAGAGCCTGAGGAGTAAAAATGAAGCAGCTAAATGGAATTGAGCCATCATTAATTGTATTATTTACACCTGTGCTTCTCCTACTGTGACATGTTAAAATGTCTTTTGAAGGTGAAAAAGGCCCATTGATGTTCAAAGTGGCAGGCACTGTTTCACTTTCTGTACATTGATTACGTAAGGTACATAGGTTTTACTAATTGCAAAACATTACAGGACATTATGAGAATTACTGAACTGAACACAATTAGTAGGCAGTATGGACCTGAAACTAGGTATGGGACAAAATATAAGAGTTTCATTTCACAATTATCCTGGCCAAAATAATTGTGATTCACAATATGACACTGATAATTATCAAAATATGCTTAAAACTCTTAAACTAGGACTAAAACATCAATCCATCACTTTGCCTTACATAAGAAATAAATATTGTTACTGCATCACAGAGAGAACACACATCTTTTTTTCCTACGAAAGCCAGGCTTTACAACCATTTGAAATGTCACCATGTCATTCGATATGAAATATGCCAATATTTGATTGAGATCTTTTGCGTTTTTTGAGATAGGTGCAAATGCAGCCTGTTTTTGAATAGTCTTTTGTAATGTTCGTCGTCCAGCACTCTCTTTGGGTGCTTTTAGACATGATTATCATGATTATCCTGATGAAGGAAGTTCACTATGATCAACTTATTGTGTGTATTTTTTATCACGATCCATGATTTTTGATACTTGACAGTTTTCAATATACTACATACTCTTTTCAGTTGAGTTTCCCAGCCATAAGCATCTCATGATTTCACAGGAATACCTCACCGTGCACCAAAAGCATCCCACTCAGAGAGCTCATATTGCATTATACATACATGATGAGCCCTAATCTATAGCCATGTTATCAGAAAATATACATTATTATGGGTGAACCCATTGGGATCCATCAATATCTAATCAGCCATGCAGCGCTGCACATTCTGAATGTCTGAGTGATATCCATACACCGTGTAGCCCACAGCCGCGGCCTTGACTGAGCTCTGCACGTAGTGAATTGTTTTGCCGCGGTGTTCCAGGCTCTCCTTCGGCCTTGATAGAATGTACCTGTTTAGAAAAGTAGGTGTGCGGGTAGCCGTGCTGTCCTGTGCATGAACTGGAGGTGTGGTAGAAAGACAAATGTGAGGTATGCTGTTTACACCACAATGAGAAGCATTTCTCGTACAAATGTGAACCATAACTGTGGATATATAGAATCCTGCAGCGGCTGCACGAAGGTCAGAGAAAATTGTGAGGCATTTGAAAAACACAATGAATCGCGTGTCAGCTGCGGTCGGTATTACACCCTGAATTATCTTGAACACTTGTTCCACCAGGTCGGGATCTGATATCTTGAGTATTTTATTAAATGTTTAGAGATTTTTACAAGCAGGTCACACAGTCTCAGCGGGGCCAGGGCTGAAAATGCGATGCTAATTTGGACATCAGTTTGAACAAGTCTACCCACAATGCATTGGCAGGGTTTTAAGTGTGATGCATGACTTTAATTCCGTTAGTGGAATGTGGTCAGAGATCCAGCTGAAAGGGAGAGGAGGACGGAGAGGAGGGGAAGGGACAAATGTAGAAGGAATAAAGAGAGAAAGAGGAGAGGAAGGAGAGGAGTCTGAAGAGAGAGGAGAGACGGGGTGGAGGGATGGCGGGGGGTTTGCATTCCTCCACTCTCCCTCTTGTCCGAGGGTTTTTGGACGGGCGAGGGCCAGCGGAGAGGGAAGGAAGGTGGAGGGTGGAGGAGAGGAGAGGGATGGAGGGAAGGGGAGGGGCCGGTGTGGCTTTTGTCTGCTTCCCACGTTTCAAAGCCAGTCTTGAAAAATGAATAGACAGAGGAAAATCAATTGCATGACCTTCACAGAGAGAAAGAGGGAGAGATTGAGAGAGCAGGAGAGGGGGGAAAGAAGGAGGAGAGAGACAGATTATGGAAGGAGGGAGCAAACGAAAAGGAAAGGCTGAAGGGAGGAAAAGTAAAATGACCCATGATATTCATTCCCATTCTGTGTGAGGTGTGTGTGTGTGTGTGTGTGTGTTTGTACCTATTTGCACAGCGCATTGAAGGACTAAACCCTTTTATTTGAAGCCATTTATATTTCAAAACATCTTTATATTGAGTAAATTTTGCTTTGGGGAACAGTTTCTTTTTTCTGTTTCTCTGCCTTTTAAATGTCCCGTTAAAGCATTACTCCACTTTATTTTATCCAGAGCCTTATTTCCTATTGGTTATGATTAAATTGCCCCCTGGACTGTAATGTGATTACAGCAGCAATGTTGCTAAAAAGCAGTCTTAAGGGGCAAGAAAGGCAAGTGAACAGGGC